GTGCGCACAGAGACATTCATCACAGAGACATTCATCATAGAAACACACACTCCAAGTCCACACGCGTATGCGCAGGTGTGCGCACAAGGACATTCATCATGTGCACCCACACTCCAAGTCCACACGCGTATGCGCAGGTGTGCGCACAGAGACACTCATCATTTAAACACACACTCAAAGTCAACGCGCGCATGCGTAGGTGTGCGCACAGAGACATTCATTATATAAACACACACTCCAAGTCCACACGCGTACGCGCATTGGTGTGCGCACACAGACATCCATCATATAAACACACTCCAAGTACAAACGTGCATGCGGAGGTGTGCGCACAGAGACACTCGTCATATACACACACTCCAAGTCCACACGCGTACGCGCATTGGTGTGCGCATTGGTGTGCGCACAGAGACATTCATCATATAAACACACACTCGAAGTACAAACGTGCAGGCGCAGGCGTGCGCACAGAGACACTCATCATATAAACACATACTCCAAGTCGACGCGTGCATGCGCAGGTGTGCGCACAGAGACACTCATCATATACACACACTCCCAAGTCCAAACGTGCATGCGCAGGCGTGCGCACCCAGACACTCATCATATACACACACTCCAAGTCCAAACGCGCATGCGCAGGTGTGCGCACAGAGACATCCATCATATTCACACACCCAGAGACATCCATCATATTCACACACCCAAGTCAACGGGTGCATGCGCAGGTGTGCGCACGGGGATATCATTACATACACACACTCCAGGTCCAGGCGTGCATGCGCAGGTGTGCGCACAGGGACATTCATTATATACACACACTCAAGTCCGTGCATGCGCAGAGACATTCATCATATTCACACCCAAGTCCACGCGTGCATGCGCAGGTGTGCGCACAGGGACATTCATTATATACACGCACTCCGCTGCTGTCGAAGGACGTTTGCCTGATGGAATCCATGGTGATGACGACCGGTCAAGAAGACGTAACAGTGACAAGTCGGTTGCTGGAGGTGCGAAGGTGAGTGCGTTGAATTTACAGAAAGAACCAATTGAGGAAAGGAAATCGCCACAGCTGCACTCCTCTCAGTGTAGCCCGCGCGGGCAAGCATCATATCAGAAGCCTCTCGCTAACCAAAGGGCTAACCTAGACCTTCTTGACGTCCTACTGATGCAGACGGCAATCTTCGTCACCGCCCTCTTGTTCGGTTTCTCCGCCGTAGGGTGCCACGACACGCTTCGCAAGGGTGACCTTTCAGCAGTGTCTCGCGGTGAGCTGTGCCCCAGTGTGGATCTCTCTCAAGCCAAGCTCACCGACGCTGTCTTCGGGGTGTTCGCCCACGGCGTCTACCACGCGTCGGCCTGGAGAGGGTGTATATGACGAACGCCTCTGTCCACTCGCCTGCGCCCGCGCGCATCAACCTGTAGGGTGTGTATATAATGAATGTTTCTCTGCGAACACCTGCGCACACACGCATCGACCTGCAAAGGGTGTATATGATAAATGCCTCTGTCCGAACGCCTGCGCATATATGCGTCGACCTGCAGGGGGTTGTGTATGATGAACGTCTCCCCAGCATGGTCCTTCCTTGGTGCGCCCAGCGCTCCAGCATACAGGTGCTGTCAAACACGCCGACGCGTGGGCAGCGAGTAAAGAGACATCTGTAGCAAGAGAGAAAGAGAGACTTCCAGAGCCAAGCATCCAACCGTAAGGGATTCACTTAGAGCTTGTTCGCTCATCTCCAAAAGCCAGTTGACCCTTTCGAGAGAGCACAACATGTTCACCTGAAGCACAACCTGCGGAGAGAGAGAGAGAGACATGCATACAGTCATGTATCATCTTGTTCATCTCTCCTACGAGTTGTCCGTTCTGTGTGCTATAGAGCTGAACCTTTGCGGCCCATGCTATTCTGCTCGACACAGAGACATTCATTATATACACACACTCCAAGTCCAAACGTGCATGCGCAGGTGTGCGCACAGAGAATACTCCAAGTCCAAACGTGCATGCACAAGTGTGCGCAAAGAGACATCCATCATATACACACACTCCAAGTCGATACGTGCACACCTGCCACACTCCAAGTCGACGCGTGCATGCGCAGGTGTGCACACATAGACATTCATCATATACACACACTCCAAGTCCAAATGTTCATGCGCAGATGTGTACACAGACTTGGACTTGTATGCGCAAGTTTGCGCACAGAGATATTCATCATATACACACACTCCAATCGGCATGGAGTCTTATGTCTTGACTAAATCGGCGATTTCTTGGAGGTTTCTCCTTCTTTTCGGATGAGGCAGCGCGTGTCCGACTACATCCAACATCCTCCACCACCCCTCCCCCGCGAGACGGCGGCAAGCCCCCATGTTGCGCATGCAACGCGATGGGCGGTCCAAGCTGTCCACGTGCAGCCGAGGCTGCGACTGCCGAAGCAATAATCGCCTCTGCACTGACTCTGTCAACTGCAAGCGCCGTACGTGCACGAACTTTGTGTATCCCCTGGACCCGGTTGTTTGCAATGATGACGATGATGATTCTTCCCCTTACGCCGGTCCTGCCGTGCCCTCCACGGCTTCTTTCGGTGATGACAAGATGCGCGAGGCCTTCGGTGAGCCCCTCACCAACTCTGCTGGTGGATCGAGCTTTCCTGAGTGGGAGGCGTATTACGAGCGGGTTTGCCGGCTTCGCCTGCGCTGCGTAGGCATCTACAAGACTGGCAACCTTGGCCGCGCTGTCGCTGATGCTGTCACTGATGATGTGGAGGCGATTGCCAAGCTCGAGGCGCCTTCCGAGCAGCTCTTCGTCGTCATCACCAATCACATCCACCAGCTGGTTGTGTCGCCGGGTCACCAAACCCGCCCTTCTCGCAGTCCAGGGCGTGTGTGAGGGTGAGTGCCAACTGTATCACCGCCGTGGAACAGCGGGCCCGGGAAAGGGGTGATGAGAAGAGAGACGGTGGCGGGGAAGTATAATGTAATACTGAAAGACATTATGCTCTCTGTAGAAAGGTAGATGGTACAGGAAGGTTGCATTGCGGTGTAGTCTTTTCTCTCTTCTCTCCTTTCCTTACAGTACAGGCGCTGCCTTCAACAGTATGTCCTTCTTGCGAGTCAGGGCTCCTGTGTTGTCTTTACCTACCCTGCGTTTTTCGTCATCTCGGCCCTTTAAGTTATCATGTGTTTTGCACTCTCTTTTTCTCATTTGTCTATTCCTCTTGGGCCCTTATGGCTGTGTGCGGTCCTCTTCTGTGCTGCCGTTGTTGTGCGCACTATTGGTGTATACACTCTAGTTGCAGGCCTCTGTACTGCTGTTGCTGTGTACGCACTATGTACGCAGGCCTCTGCTGCTATTGCTGTACGCTCTATGGGCGCAGGGCTCTCTGCTGCTGCGATTGTTGTCAGACTGTATGTTCAGCTATCATTACACAAACGTGGTGCTGTCACAGATAAGATAAAGACACTTCCTTTGGATGGCTCCAAGCTGAGCAGATTATGCCGCCTAATTTAGCTGCAGAACCTGAAATGGACTGCTGAACAGGCCGCGTCAGATACTGGCAATGAGCTCGAAAACGTGTTGCTTACATCGACAAGAGACATTTCATGAGCTCAAGACGATGCTTCACATGTGCGCTTGACGCAACGAGCCTCGAGAGATCCTACAACTAGATCTGTGCATGTTCGACCCCATCCCATACGACATCAGCGTGACTGACATGAAATCGCGACGAGTGACCATTGAGAGGCAGTACATCAGGAATTATTCGCGTGACTTATGATTTTGACTGGACATATCGAATCTCAAGTCGAAAAAGGCACAGAACAAATGAGGGCACATACTCACCCTTTGTGAGGGCAAACAACTCTCACTGTCTCAACCAAAACCAGATGGACATCACTTTACATGTCCAAGCCATGACTCTTGTTCAGCATATCAAGGCAAAAAAAAATGCACGGCATGAATGAGGGTATTCACTCACCATTCGTGAGAGCACAACACTCCCAATATTCATCGCATAGAAGTCACAAAAACGCAAAAGAGAACGTCCGGTGGTTTCTTTCACTGATCGTTGCGAATTTCTCAATTTTTGCCACAGTGATCTTCTGAATTTTCACCATAGTAGTCGCCACTTCTGTTAGGTTGGGGTGTTGGCAAAATAAACGCACGACGCCAAACCGTGACGTCAAGAGGACACACAGTGACGTCAAGGGGAGGCTGATTCCGGTGCTTAGCGATGCCGCCCACACTATCAGCCACAGTCCACGCTATGCAAGTCGGGATGCCGTCCAGAAATTGACGATGGAGATGCACGCCTTGCCTGTCTCGAACTTCAAGACCCTTCTGGACCGGATCACAGACGTTTCTTTGTTGGTCGAATGCTTCAACTTCAGGTTCAGTAAAATCGGTCTTGTCGTCGCTTCCAATGGTGAAATAGATCGATGAAAACCGTCCGCAAGACACTCCGCCGTAGCCTGATGTCACCTGGGGGATATAGTCTTCTTGTGTGTTCCACAGCGGTTCGTCCTCAGTTCCCCTACTTCGAAGTACAGGTGGCCGCTGAAGGCTGGGAATCTTTCTTTCTCGATGACCGCCTTGGTCTTGTTCCACGGAAGTGGTGAGAAGTTCAGGCATCCCTGAATCACAGGCAATGGGAGAGAAAGAGATATGTAGAATAAAGACGACACTAATCCTACAGGTCAACGCGCTTTCCATCTCCTCACGTACCGCCTTCTGAAGCGATGATACCGTTAATTTGTCCTGCCCCCCTAGCTGATCCACGGTATTTGTCCCTTTTCAGCAAGGATCCTGACCGGCCTTTCGCTACATGATCCCCTTATCCTCTCAACATGAATACAAACACATATACTATAACCGAGTGGTCATCATGTTCCTTATTGATGCTTCTCAGTGGTCTTTGCTTGCCTATCACGTAGCGCGCACGAAAAGAGCACGCTTTTTTCATCCATAAGAGTATCACGCATGGAGCATGAGTGGGCATAAAAAATCACCTCCACTTCTTGACATGAACGACATGGTCAATAGGACGAAGACGACACTTGACATAAACAACATACTCAATATAACGAGAGTCTCTTTGTGCGCACACCTGCGTATGCATGCGTCGACTTGGAGTGTGTGTATATGATGATTGTCTCTGTGCGTGCATACGCAGGGCGTATATGATGATTGTCTCTGTGCGCACACCTGCATATGCACGCGTCGACTTCGAGTGTGTGTATATGGTGAATGTCTCTGTGCGCACACCTGCGCATACACGCGTCGACTTGGAGTGTGTGTGTACGATGATTGTCTCTGTGCGCATACCTGCGCATGCACGTTTGGGCTTGGAGTGCGTGTGTATGATGATTGTCTCTGTGCGCACACCTGCATATGCACGCGTCGACCTCGAGTGTGTGTACATGATGACGGCCTTTTCGACTTGGAGTTAGTGTATATAATGATTGTCTCTGTGCGTGCATTCGCAGGGTGTATATGATGATTGTCTCTGTACGCACACCTGCGTATGCACGCGTCGACTTCGAGTGTATGTATATGATGAATGTCTCTGTGCGCACACCTCCGCATGCACGTTTGGACTTGGAGTGTGCGTGTATGATGATTGTCTGTGTGCGCACACCTGCGCATGCACGTTTGGACTTGGAGTATTCTCTGTGCGCATACCTGCGCATGCACGTTTGGGCTTGGACTGCGTGTGTATGATGAGCGGTAAGTCCCAGAGTCAGAGTGCTTTCAAGTCAGTGAGGCCGAGAGACTGGCCAGTCACACACTAGTCCTTTCTATATATATATATATGACTCCATGAAGGCTTGTCAACATAGATCTCACTTCGGTGGTGGCTGAAAAGATCACTCTGCAGTGACATCATCCACATACACGCCCCTCTCACACACACATGCTAGCTCAAGCCCGTGGCCAATCCCAGCTCCCACCTCATCTCAGCTCCCAAGTGGTTCGTCTTGCTCTCTGACACTTCTCCCTCCTCTCTTCTTCATCTGGATTGACTGCCCCCCCGTCTGGATTGCTGGCTTTGAATTGCCTGTTCATCCACCCCGCAAGCATGATGAAGTGCGTCTTGGCTTTCGTCATTCTTTTGACCGTCCTTCGACCGTCGGTGCAACAGTGTGTCCCCTGCCCCGGTTCCGGATGTGTTCCTGAATACTGCCTACCATCGGGTGCCTGTTGCGACCCTAACAATACACGTCGTGAGCTCTTGCGAACACAGGAGGAGATGCTGAAAAGAGCAGTGACTTACAACGGTGATGGAAAAGCGCCTCGTGAGCTTGCTGGTGCTGTCGTCGCCACTGACCAGTCTGATACTGCCGAAGAGTAGGTGAGTGAACAGAAATCAGTATTCTGCCGACCTAATCCTTAGTCGTTCTCGACGATTGCTAAGTGTCGTTGTCCTTCAGGCGCCCGGACGCAATGTACAGGATGAGTCGTAAGTCTTCATGCCGTACAGAGCTGTTAGCCGAGACGTTCCGCGGTTGGTTCCCTTTAGTCCCATCCCCGTTACGTTCTGGATGTCCGGACATTCAGAGTGTTTGTCGGTTGTACTTCATGGGAATGAGAGAGGGTCTGTACAGAAGGACATCCAGTGCTGTGAGTGACCGGACAGTGGAGACATCTGAGCAATGGTTTCAGTTCGACAGGGGATGCAAACGTTTTTGAAGCACAGCCTTTTTCCTGCCCTCTTTGAAAGACGCGTTTCACGAGCTTTGAAGTGCAGCGAGGAAGCAAGCGATTATCCTTCTCGTCACCTTGCATCAGTGACACGACGCTTGAGCAGTCGTAAAAAGTGTGTCATCTATGGGCTTGGGTTGTAAAGGAAGTGTGAATGCTGACGTGTGATTGCGTTGTTTTCGTATTTTCTTGGGCCGTTTATAGTGCTTTTTCCTGTTCGTCTCAGTGCATATCGCTTTATCGCCTTAGCCGATCCATCTGTAGATTGTCTCTGTGTGCCGCCCTAGGTGAAGCAAGAACTATGAGAGGCACATATTCGGACAACGCTTCTTGGAGCCTTTTTTCAACCATTCAGATTTGCTTCGCAGTTAATTCGCTCTCGACATCACATGAGTGATTAATGAGCACAGCAACGCCTAGCTTTTGTGGATACCCTGTGAATCTGCTGTATTGCTAGGGTTGATGTGACTACAGAGGGAACGACAACGCTGCATTAGGCTGTCAAAGCCGGCCATCTGGATGTCGTCAGAAGGCTGGTCCTCACGAACAGACGATGAGTTGAATCAACTTCATGAGAAGGATAAATTGGTAAGTAGCGCCACCCATGAGAGACTTCTATTCATCGTAATGATGATGTTAGATATGCATTCTCACTGTCCATTCGTTCATCAATGCATTCATGACTCTTTGAAATGATTGTTAAATGTGTCTCCTGCAGGGCTTCATACCTTGCCATTAACAAGTGGATTGATGTCCATTTGATCTTGGTTCAGACAGTAAGAGTTTTCAATTGGATATGCCAAGTAAATGTCATAAGTAAGGCGAGTGATTCCTGGCTTACTGCCTCTCAAGTGGCCCCTCATTGCGATTTCATGTCGTGTGCGATGGGGCGAACATGCAGAGGCTAGTTCTACGGTCTCTCAAGGCTCGTTGCGTCAAGCGTTCGTCTGAAGCATCGTCATGAGGTTGTGAAATGTCTTGGTCGATGTAAGCAATACGCATTCGACCTCATTACCAATATCTAATGCCCCTTCTTCAGCAGTCCGTTTCAGGTTCTGCAGCTAAGCTGGACCTGCATAATACCCTCAGGTAGGATGTATTCGAGGGAAGTATTTTTTACGCCAAAAGGGACTTCTCTAGGGATCTTTCAGAATCATTGTATCTTGAAGATTGATGGAGCTTTTCAGAATTTGGCATGGACTGCCGAACAGAGTACTTCACACACGGGTCTTCAACCTTTGCGATTCTAAAATTCACAAACATATGATAACAATATAGATACAAAATGGTTATGAGCAGTTTTGATAGCGGTGCGGGTGGATTTACCGTAAACAATGTATTTCCCCCTATCACCGTAACAATCGTCTCTGTGTCCGAATCATACACGAATCAGTCCGCCCGATAAGACGCCAATCTAAGGGGAGGAACCGATCCCCGCCCCATCATCACAACACAGAGACGATTGTTACGGTGAATGAAGCTTGAGTGTGGTCTTAAAAAAATGTATTTCTCCCTATTGGTAACACAATGCATGAAGTGCGTTCTCGTGCATTAGACACAATAATGGGTGGTCAAATGATCCACGATTTGGAGCAGCAACGACAAGGCTTTACAAAATTCACACCGAACGTTGTTATTGACGTAGGTAGTATTGCGGCTTCGGGACTAGCAATACAGGCCATTAATACATCCGACTGCGTCAGGAAAAGGAGTTATACTGCACTAAGTATACATCTGTGTGTACCCGATTTGACTGTCTGTGTTGAGTTCGATCATTTTTATCTTCTGTTTCCTGTCTCTTTTTGGATCACATATTCTTGGACAACATTCATAAGTATAATGATCCTCAACCTCATCATCGTCACTATGAAAATGCAAGTGAAAAGGGAATTGGGGATATGTCAGGTGATGCCTGGCTACAGCGTGAGTGCCCTCTTGAAGAAAAATCCTATCAGACAGACAGACAGACGCGTGTGCTGTGATTGATGTTCGTATGAGTGTGTCAGCATACCGACGGCGATCGCCGTGAGGATGCAGGACACCATGCAGAACACAAAGACAGCATAAAACGCGGTGAAGCTGTCCTCAAGGCCACTCCTGCACATGACACACAGAGCCAGGACGGGCATAGAGAGACGCTTCAATCGTGTGCAGTGGGAAGATGCTGACCTGAGGTTCATCCCGAATAGGCCGCCGACACACGCCCCGAAACCCACAACGACGCCCACAGCATTCAGACCTGCAGAAATCCATCCAAAACGCACACTCTTTCCATCTGTGTGTCTTGTGTCCGTTTGCTGTTGTACCCAGGTCAAGCTTGAGCACTCTATTACGCACGGTGGCTGATCGACCACACCACACAACACCACACAACATCATACACACACGCATGAATGGAGACGCGTCGATGTCGCTTGGTTAGCTTGCTCTCTGTCTCTTTCACTCACCCAGGTGGAGATTCATCAGCTGTAGCACGTCATCCAGCGTCTGCACAGTCGCCCACACATACACACACATACAAACAAACACCACATACATGCGATGGGCTGTGCGTCTGCACCCACCTCGTCGAGCAGGCTGATGTTGTGGTCGAGGAGCTCCGACTCCTGCATATAGCACTTGAGCAACAGCTCCACGTCCTCGGTGCTGTACGGCTCATCACCAGCCTCCTCATGCTCGTAGTTTTCGGGCGATACTGGCCCGGCAGCGTTCCTCCCCTCCTCAGACTGATGGTTCATCGGGCTGTCTGCCGTTCCTGCATTCGTCTGCTGCTCGTCAGCACCAACATGACGCGTGCCAAAGTGACCACAGAAGGAAAAGGGAGACAGATGAATGTGTGTGAGTCTGGTGGGGGTGGTGTGGCGTACATGTGGGCTCTCTGCGAGTGAGTGTGCGGAGCCGCGGAATGCCCCGGCGAATGTGGGTGGAAGGGTGGCCGCGCGGTGGTCGTGGCCCTTCCTGTGCACAGTGAGGAGGACGTGCTGCTGAGAGAACCGCCGCGTGGCGTCTGCTGAGGGGGTCTCGACCAATATCGACGATGTTGTTAGGAACGATGTGTTGATGCTGGATGAGTGGGTCTGCGTCATGTGTGCGCGGGCCAGGGAGGGGCAGACGGGGGGCAGGTAGGGGAAGGCAGGCGCTTCGGAACTGATGGATTAACAAGCGAGACACACTCATGTGTTGGATAATGCCGGTGTGTCTCTCCGTGTCTGTGCTGACTGACCCTTTCCGTCTTGCCTTGTGCGCTCGCCGATGGCGGAGACGGGGAGAGGAGGCACAGGAGGCGGAGAATCTCTTCTGCGACAATCCTCTTCTGCAGCTTGCTTTGACGAGACTCCCCTTACGAGCGCCTTCAACCCTCTGACCTCGGCTTTCAGCTCCTCCTGAATCTTCCTACCCCCTTTTAGCTGATTCCCATGCCTCTCTTGCACAGTCTGGACCCCACCCAGCGCCTCTTTCACGCCAGCAATCTCCGCCCGGACTTCCTTGGCGTTCTTGATCATCGCTTCCCTCAGGCTCTCAGTGGCGTGTTTGTTCTCCGCTATGTGACAATCGGTACGAGACAGATGTTCTTTGAACGACTTGATGAGAGCGTCCATGGTGAAGTCCACCTTAAGCTCCAGCCGACAGAGACGCTCATCCATCTTCTCCTGCCATTCATCGTGGTGGCTGCATTCAACGTTTGGCGCCTGGGGCTTCGCATCAGATTGCATGGTGCTGCTGTACCGCGTCGCCCGGCCGGACAACAGGGGATAGGAAGCAGTGCCGCCCGCCGTGTCAGGTCCCGTCCACTTGAGTCAGATGGTGCCCGCCGTGGGCCCACTTGGAACCATTGCAGATTAAGAGTTGTAGGCAAGAGCTCGCGAGCCAACGCGTCACCAACTTGGAAAGCCGTGGGATCTTGGTTTTGATGTCCTTCAGTAAGTTCTCTCCCCGTCTCGCATGCAGACTGGCCCCCCATCGATCCCCCACCCTGCTCCTCGGAGTCCCCAAAGACAAAGGGAAGAGGCACAGCAGAAAGGTCCACTGACAGGTCTTGACAACGCTTCGTCTTTTGTGTGGTCAGATGGACAACCGGTTCACTCTCGCCCATCTGCCCATCATGGCAGCGGTCCCCCGCCCTCGCCCAACGCCTTCAACGACTGCTTCCACTCCGTCACCACTTGCCAGTATGATGCTGTGCAGCGGTGCTTCTAGAGAGAGGATCCCACGCCCTACATGCAGGCTACTGATCAAGTGAATACGGGGAGGGGGATGCGTCAATCACGTTTGGTGAGGGAGATATGCGTGGTTTGTGTGCCGCTGTGTCTGTCAGACGCTCAAGACGTGTCTGCACTTGGCTGTCAAGGCGGGGTCTGCAGATCTGGCGCACTTGTTATCACCCTCGGGGCCGCCATCGAAACCAGAGAGCGAATCGGGAGGACGCCGCTGCACTTGGTAGGGCTGAACAGACACACGGACAGGTAGACCGACCGACAGACAGACAGGCACTCGACCGGCATTGTGTCTGATAGGCGTGTGAGTATGGGCACGAGAAAGCTGTGGAGTGCCTGTTACACGCTGTGGCGAACCTGGAGGCCCGCGATGGGGTGGGTACGCGTGTCCAAGAATACGCAACATGATGTGGCTCTTACGGCTTTGCGTCGTTGCAGCTTGGTCGCACGCCGTTTCATCTGGGTTGCTGTTCGGAGAATCGCAAAGTCGTTTCCATTCTTCTGCACTCGAAGCCATCGCTCATCCATGCCACCGACAAGGTGACGAGACACGACAGACACAACGAGCAGCGCCGCAGCTGCTTTTGCTGTGCCGTGCAGCATGAGCGCACCGGTCTGAACTATGCTGTGTTGAGCCGTCACTGGAGCGGGCAGGACATCACCAAGCTGCTGCTCGCCAAGGGAGCTGATGTCAACGCTCGCGACCTGTACGGCCACACCCCTCTCCATTACGCATGCAGGTATAGAAGGCGAGCAATGAGGGGCATTCAGTGACACCTTCTCTTTTGCCCACAGGAGGGTCAGTCGAAGGTTGTCCGCCTACTGTTGAGGAATGGAGCTGACCCGCACATTCAGGACACTGTCGGCCGCAAGAGCCCTCTGCAAATGGCCGCGACGCCACTCATAAGAGACCAAATCAAGAGTGAGCATCCGTGTATGAGAGAATGGATGTGCTACACGTCTCTATGAATGCAGGTCATCTGAGGCAGAAGGGCGAGCTCCCGGTGGCCGAGTTTAGGGCCACTGAAGGCGCCGTGGACCAGGCCACCTCTCCAATGCAGCGTGGAACGATGCCCCAGCAGCCATACAGCCCTCCTGCGGAGGACAAAAGGGAGAGGGAGCAGCAGCTGGCCGTCGAGCCATCGCGAACAGGACCGAAAGAAGGTCAAATAGCGTCATCCATACACACAAAGAGAGCTGGGTGTTGTGCTCTGCGCTCGGGCCTGTCTGCCTTGTCTGTGTCGATGGGCCCTCTCCGCGAGCGGTTCATGCGTCTGATGCTGCCTGTGCAGCAGGGCGGCCCTGACGACCTGCAGCACATCAAAGAGCCGCACCTGTTCACCGCCAGCTGGATGGAGGCCATACACACGCACCAACAGCTCTTCCAATCCATCATTGCTGCCCGTCAGGGTCACGTAGGCGTCATGTCGGTCATGTATGAGAGCAAACCTGACGTACTGCAGCAAACAAACGACGTACTATCACAGACAAATCATCTTGTGCTGCAGTTGGTGATGAGGAGATGTGTGTTGGGTGTGGTGGAATGCCGACTGGTTGGACTGCCATACACTTCGCTGCCCGGAATGGCCATCTTGCGGTCGTTAATCAGCTGCTGAAGTGGGATCCCAAACTGCTCGATGCACGTAGCAAGGTAAGAGAGCACACACACATGTCTCTGACGCCTCAGTGTGCCGATTGATTTTGTGTGTGATGATTGTACTTCGGTACCACACCATTCATATTTGCTGCCTCGGGTGGTCATGTGGATTTGCTGAAGGCACTGTATGCCAAAGGCGGGAAGGGCTGCCTCACACAAAAGGACCAGGTCACACAGAAGGCGGGAAACAATGAACGTAACTCTGATATGTTTGATTGCCTTTCTTTGTGTGCATGACACACACAGCACGGCATGACGGCACTCCATGTGGATGCGGACAGGGGCCAATCTGTCGCTGTGTCTCAGCTGTGGGCCACACTGATGAATGGCTGACGCGAACATCTTATACACACTCTCTGTCTCTCTGTGCCATTCTCAAAGGCTCGAGTGGGGCGGCGGTGCTCTGCTGGACATCGAAAACAACGACGTCAGTGCACACAGAAATTCACATCATCGATGGGTTCAGTGCTCATCTCATGACAACAGGGCAAGACGCCGTGGGATTTCGCCGTCTTGGTCCGAGGGAAGGATGTTGGAGCACCGTCACCCTGCGTTCCCCGCTCCCCCCTCCTGCTACTACAGCAAGAGCTACTGGGACACGATGAGCTGCAGCACAGCCACTGGCGGGCCGTGTGGGGCAACCAGCTCGTGCCGACCTGACACAGGTAAGATGGGACAGGGAAGAGAGGGAGGGGGGAAGAAGGGGCGAGGCAGATCCGTTGTCATCTGTGTGGTGTGTTGTGTGGTGTGTACGGCATTCAGCGAGCGGCGGCAGCAGCCTGACCCCTCACTGCTCACCTGAGACCAGCCCCCTCTCCCTGCCCATCCCGGTGCGGCGCACCCTCCCCCCTCCCCCCCTCCCCCTCTATCGCCCCATCGGCAGCCGCATCATCGGTGTGCTCGTCGACCACATGTGGAACTGACACTCTCTCTGTCTCTCTCTCTCTCTCTCTCTCTCTCTCTCTCGCAAAAGAGACCACGGCAGCAGCAGTGCGTCTGCGGCCGACCACGGCAGCAGCAGTACGTCCGCTGCGGACCACGGCAGAGTGTCTGTGGTGGTGGGTCGTCATCTGCCAAGGCAGAGGAGGTCGATGATGCAGCGGCGGCGGACGCACAGGAAGAGGAGGGCGATGGTGTGGGTGACGATTGGTCGCCTGATCTGCAGATTAGGGAGGTTCTCGACTGTTTGCCGACAGGTGCGTGTGCCGCAAACACACAAATGGTCTCGGCAAACGTGGTGGGGTGTGTGTGGTGTGGTGTGTTGTGTGTTGACACAACAGGAGAGGTGTCCGAGAATCTGGTGTGGAGCAAGTGTGTGACGCCTCTGCGTGGTGTGGCTCTGCGTGAGGAGGATCTGCGAGTGGTGTGCGAGCGGCTCAGCAGCGAGTAGGCTGACGGGATTTCTGTCCATTCGGATCAGTCGGATGTGGTCCACACACCGCACACACATACACATTCACACACGCATAACAACCCTTCCTCACGCAAGACAGGCGGGAGTCGATAGTGCTTGCCCTGCATGTTGCCGCGATCTGTGACGTGGCAACAGACACAATGCACAAACAGACCAATGAATACGAACAGACCCCCTCTGTGCATACGCTTACATATATCGAGCGGGTCGGCCTCCTTGCGTGATGAGTAGAGCTCCCTTTCGCGAATGAGCAGCATCTGCAGGGCCTGTTCGTCCTTGATGCGGTCGGCGTCCTGCTCGAGACTTTGAATCTGGCGAGTGTTGGTGGCGCGGAGGATCTTCTCTTGCAGCGTGTCGCTGTCGGCTGCGGCCTGCAGGATGGCGTCGGGCTTGACGGGCTTGGCCTCCAGCTCGAGATCCAAACCCACGGCCTGTTGCCGCTGACGGGCCAACAGACAGAAACACGAACAGGCAAGCACCGATTGGTGATGCTCTCCGTCCGTCTGGTCGCATTACCTTAGCCTTGCGTCTCTTTTGGCTCTCCACCTGAGGAAGGCGGCGATGCGCCCCTCACTTCTCAGTGAGTTTGTTGCCGTCGCCCTTGACGCGCTTGGTCCACTTGATGCGCGGGACGTACCGGTAGTGCTGCCCACCAAACGCACCCCCGCCACGCGCCTTCTTGAACTCCTCCAGACGCAGCTTCTCAAGTGCATCGTTGTCAACCTCAGACTCGTCCTGAAGGCACGCGAGAATAATGAGGCTGCGGCTGTGCTGTGGCATTCATTTCCTTCTCTTCTCTTCTGCTGACGAATTTGCGCTTCCTTGGCTGTTGTGACTCCCTGGCCATGTGAGCCTCGGTGCCGCCCTCCAAGTCAGCCAGCAGATCATCCCGATCGTCCATGTCTCCATCGTTGGCCGGGCCGGCCCCCAGCGCGTCCATCCCCTCTCCTGCTGCTGCCGCTGCAGCTGGTGCGGGTCCGCCGAATGGAAAGGCCTTGTCTTTGCCCTTGCCGCCCCCCACGCCGCCCGGCATGCCGCCTCCGGTGCCGCCCTCCAGGTCCATGGCTCGCCGCTGGGGGGGCATTGGGTGGTCAGGTGCTTCCTGCTCTTCTTCGCTGTCTGGTGGGTTGGGGTGTGAGAGGGCGAACTCCTGGTTGTGAAAGATCTCCTGCAGACGCTTCAGGTAATGGTGACGAGACTCGCCCTTCTTGCTGTCGTCGCGACTCCGCAACTGTGGGCCATACAAAGCCATACGCTTACTAACATTCATGTCTATATGTGGGTAATGGTTGTGTTACCAGGCTGACGAGGTCCCATCGCTTGAGGGTCTTAACCCTTTCCCACTCATATCCGTATCGCATCAGTCGCCGCCGCAGATCTGGTTCCTTGAGCCTGCGGTAGTCCTCGGTCGCCCTTTTGCTGTCCTTGCTCTCCTTGTCCTCCTTCTTTTTGCTCTTGCGCTTGAGGAAACTCAGACCCTCACCGCGACCTGCTGACGGCTCACCGGGACCATTGAGCACAAACTGAAACGACTCGTGCGTCTTGCCAGCCTGACGACGCAACACCAGACAACATCCATGGGGTGGCCGCATGTATGAATTTGTGGTTGTGCATATGTATGTCAGTCTTCTTATCACCCTGGTTCTTCTGACGTCTTCACAGAAAACGTGGTAGTTCTCAGCCGGGTTCCAAGGCGAGATGGCAAGCGTCTCCTCCACATAAGTGATGAGTGAAGTCATCGCGCGCAGTCACAGACAGTGACGAACGGGAGTGGTCCTGGTAGTTGCGCAAGCTCATGGGCGGCAGCGGCCGCATGCCGCCGTCATCCTCCCCCTCCTGCCGTGTCGTGCTGCTGTACTTGCGCATGGCCTCTAGCAGAGCCCGTGCTGCGTCCTGGCTCCCAGGTTCGAGCGCTCGGTCACGGGCGAGGGCGTTGGCCTTCTCGGAGCGCTCGACATGGGTGAGGAAGAGCTTGATCATGCGGAACACGTGGGGCTGCAGAAGGGGGACGACGGAAGGGATGCACAAATGTGATTATCCATCTGTGGGGGTAGGGTGGGGGCTGTGTCACGTGTTACCATTTCGTGAGCAGGAATGCGTTTCAGGCCTGCATCCAGCAGCCGCTTCACGCCGGCCTCGGCACTCTCAAACGCGCACACCTGCACAGCACATCGAAAATGCACGATGGTCAGTTCAATCGATTTGCGTGCTATAGCTGACCTCCATAAGGTTGAGCAGTCTCCTGAGAGCGAGTTCCCAGGTGTCAAGGTTCTCGACGTCGCCCCTCCCGTTGATGATGAAGTCCCTCAGTGGCTTGGGCAGCCACCTGGCGTCCTCCATGAGCAGAACCTGGCGCAGCTTGTCCAGCGGCACATGAGACAGGTGACGATCGACCCTGAAGTTGCGCTCGATCTTCTTGCGCCACTCGTCATTCTCGCTCTGAGGACGCTCCTGCATGTGGAAATGCGCACTGACCACAGACAGACAGAACGACACAGGCAGATAGAGAGAAAAAGAGCCGTAGACGCGTTTGCGCAGGGTGTCGTATTGCAGGTCTGTGCGCTGACCGCTGGTAGTAGGCGAGCATGCGTTTGAGGTTGTAGACGGGCGATGGGTCCTTGCCGGGCGGCGCCGGTGCACTGACGGCCGCCATGGGCTCACACTGCCCCACCGTGTACACGGCACACGACATGGGAGCGTCTTGCCATCCCCACGCACACAGGTAAGCGGGCGTATCATGAGCTGCACATTGCAGAGGAGTAGCTCGTCCTCGTAGTTGTGCTTCTTCTTGGGCCGGTGCTCGTCGCCTGGGTTGCGGTAGACGGAGAGGGGCTTGGCCTCGGTGTTCTTGAAGTTGGATATGAGCAGGAAGTGATTGGAGAGTGGGGGCGACTTGGGATGTGTGGCCTTGTGGCACCAGACGGGCCCCTTGAAAACGCCCTCAGCGATGGAGAGGGCGTGATGCGGCTTGGCGCGGATCTTGTGCTCCAACAGGGTGTACTTGGGCTCCTTGACGTTGAACGAATGCACCTGGCCGTACGGACCCAGACGGGCCTGCTGCTTGGGTGATATCTCACCCCTGCAAACACACAAACAAACCATACGAGCGGACGGACTTATGGGCGGTAGGTGTTGCGTCTGGGCTGTTACTTACCATTGGTACTTGGTGATTCGTATGCCCATGCCGAATCCGCTGAGCAGGAGGGGTTGCTGCTCAATGAGCTCCAAGACAGCCATGGGCATCGTGTCGCTGCACATACAGATACATTCTGCATGTATCCACCCGTCCACCCATCCATCCGTCCATCTGTGCAAGGACCCTCGCATATGAAAGCGGATGCCCACCTCATTGATAGGCCAGTGAAGTCCATGAATGGGTCTGTCTCGGGCACCTCATCTGCCCCATCACCTACCACTGGTGGCGGAGGAACGGCACAAGTACGCAACAGAAAACACAGACGCATGTTTGCGACCGTATGGCATATATGGACTTCGCGAGACGATTGCTGACTTGATACCGAAAGGCGGCGCCTGCGGGTACTTCTTCATGTATGAGGGCAGCAGCGCGGCCACGGCCCTGAAGTCTAGCCGATGCCACCAGGTGAGGTCCTTTAGCCGCCACACGAGCCGTGTGCCCTCTTCCCGCCACCCGTTCATGGTGTGCATGGCCAGGCCGCCCTCGGGGCCCTCCATGATGCCCAGCCCTCCGTCAAGCCTGTCGCGGAATAGCTGCGTGCGCGCCTCGTAGAAGGTGTCGTGCGACACGTGTGGGTGGTAGGAGGTGGGCATGGAGGCTAGCTCCTCCTGAAGGGCGTCCAACACAGCCAGGTGGAACTCCTCGGGGGCTGGTCCGTCCAGGGGAAGGTCCTCCACCTGAAATGGATCGACGGATGGACATAAAGAGAGAAATCATAACCCCTTTGCTTGCATCAGGATTTCCTCTGTCCGTTTCCTCACCTGGCTTAGCGCGTCAGCGTTGGGCATCCCATTCAGAGCCGACAGCTGGCAGCGGGCACGGATGTGACCAGGCATGCCAGTGGGCGACTGAACACGGACAGCAGTGGGCAGTCTTGTCGTGTGCGCGTTCCTTTGGGTGCGGTGTGTCTCACTTGTTCATCTTGGTCGTCTTGCTGTTGCTGCTGTGCCTCTCGTTTCTTCTCCTCCCGTAACTTCATCAGGAAGTCGTGCCGCGCCTTGCTCCAGCCCCATATCTCGTACCAGTCGCGATATGTCGGCTCGTCGTGCCAGCTCTGATCATCCACCCGAGGCGAACAGCGAAACGGACACAGATGCATCCACGTGATGTCCTGGCAGTGTGTCTCTCTCTGCCCACACTAAAGACGACAGGCAGGCTGACTTGTTCATGCATCTAAAAGAAATGCATCTGCTGATCAAATGC